TCTCCCACCTCCTCTGTCCCCACAAGTCCCCCATAATATCTTCCTCTCCCACCTCCTCTGTCCCCACAAGTCCCCCATAATATCTTCCTCTCCCACCTCCTCTGTCCCCATAAGTCCCGCCGTGGTGTGTCCCTCCCCCACACTTTTCCCACTTTCTCCTCGCCCCCTACAAACCTCCTTTGCCTGCTTTCCCGAGTGCTGCTGCTGGAGGAGCTGAAGGTGTAGCTGCTCTTGCTGCTTCTTGTAAAACTCCTGCAGGTGTTGCTGGGGAGAGACAGCAGGACGGGGAGGGTGTGAGACCCCCATGTCATCCACTGGCTGTGTAAACATGGGCAAGAGTCCCTTTGTTTTTGACAACCGGTCCGGCATGCAAACCCTGTAGGGCTCCTCCTTTCCTGCGTGGTCTGCTTCACCGTAGCTGCGCATTCTTCCTGCCGCATGTTTGCCCTGACAGGCCTCCGGTGCAACGTTGCACACCCTCCCGCCGTAACAAAACCAAAACAAATTACATGCTGCTCATGGCACCCCAGCGAGGTCTTATGGTCATGGCAAAACAAAACAAGACTGTCCGTTTCCAAGTAAAAGTTAATTATCTGTCAGTGTATCGCGGCGACAGCCAAAATCGCAATTTCGAGCGACCGGACGATCGAAACCCTTAACCTGAAAATAGAGACAGCGGCCATAATTACACCACATTATTTTATCTCAGAAACAATATCAGGCTGATGCTCCACAGAGACACCGTGCTGCATTAACGACACGTCTCCTGCCCCTCAAAAAAAGCAAAAAAATAAACACATAGAGCAGATATATTCATGAAGCATTTTCCAAAGTATACAGGGTCTAACACACCTCATGGATATTAGACATAACCAAGGTTTGACAATTAATCACAATAAGAGCATCTTCCTGTCTGAGATAATGACAGGGCCTGAAGTTTCTTGGCTCAGTTTAACCCATCACCCATTAAAATTAAAACGAGAGTCACGTGACAGGGAGAGGAGCGAAGGGAGAGTTTCCTGAAGGTAGATCGAGGAGGTTCCGGGGACTCAGCTCAGAATTAAAGCTTGGGGGAGATGCAGGATTACCGCCCCCCCCCCGCCAGCGTTCTGAAAGGCGCCGGAGCCCAACGTCAGTGTTAAGACGTCTGGAATGGCAGTGGGGCGCGCTCGCTCCATCTTGAAACGAGGCGCGCTTCGAGTGAAGCATTTACACGCGATCCATCTTTCCTGACAGAGGAGTTTCTTATCGCTGTTCCGTGAATGACGAGCCGCCCCACTCCTCTCCGCCACTCGCTCTCTTTTTTTTCCTCCCCCTTCCATCCCTCATTCCATCCTGTCCGTCTCTCAGAAACGCTTCTGTGGAAACTTTTAATGGGGTGCGGTGTGCCTCCCTGCTCAGTGACAGACGGGGTTGGGGGGGGGGGTTAAAAAAGACTATTCCGGAATTCACTAAAAGATGGAGCGACGTTTAAGACACAGGTCGGTAACTCCAGCTCCCCAAAGACGAAGCCCAACAGGTTTCTGAGACACATGGAAGTCAGCCTGGCGTGCAGCTTACTGTAGGCATATATGCAGGTGTGCAACCAAACGATCTCTCCACCTGCCACAGGTAGGCTTACGCGCACAAATGCAGCTGGATGATCCAGTAGACCCATGAGCAGGCATGCAGCCGGATGATCTCCTTGCCTGCTGCAGGTAGACCCATGAGCAGGCATGCAGCCGGACAGTTTCCCTGCTTATGCAGCTAGGAGTATGTGCAGGCATACAGCCAGAGGGTCTGCCTACCTGCCACAGGCAGGTATACACACAGACGTGCAGCTGGATGCCTGCCATGGGTTGCTATATCTGCAGGCAAGCAGCCAGACGGCCTTGCTACCTGCTGCAAGTAGGCATAACGCGTAGGCGTATGCGTAGGCATGCAGCCGGATGATCTCCCTACCTGCTGCAGGTAGGCGTATGCGTAGGCATGCAGCCGGATGATCTCCCTACCTGCTGCAGGTAGGCGTATGCGCAGGCATGCAGCCGGATGATCTCCCTACCTGCCGCAGTTAGGCGTATGCGCAGGCATGCAGCCAGATGATCTCCCTACCTGCCGCAGGTAGGCGTATGTGCAGGCATGCCACCGGATGGTTTCCCTACCTGCCGCAGGTAGGCGTATGCGCAGGCATGCAGCCGGATGATCTCCCTACCTGCCGCAGGTAGGCGTATGTGCAGGCATGCCGCCGGATGATCTCCCTACCTGCTGCAGGTAGGCGTATGCGCAGGCATGCCGCCGGATGGTCTACCTACCTGCTGCAGCATGACGGCTTGCTGCTGCTGGAGAAGGGCCTGCAGCTGCTGGGGGGACAGCACCTGCTGCTGGAGGAGCTGCTGCATTTGCTGGGGGGTGATCACCTGGGGGCTCATCATGGACATAGATACGGGAACCTGAGGAAGCGCAGACACACCGAGGGGTCAGCGTGGTGCTACGAGCCCAAAAGAACCTGCCTCAGCCACACGGATACCTCGCCGACAGGAGCTGGCTGCACATTCTTTAGGCTTTAAATAGAAGACCATAATTAAATGAATCTCTGCACTCCCAGGAGGATCTTAGTCAGCAGTGACAGGATAAAATGGCGGAGGAGATTTCTATAACAAACTGAGTTACTAGTAACACAAGGTACTATAATCAATCAATCATAAATTATCTGATCAATGATGACCCTTCAGCTCTCACTCAAACCCGAGAGCTCACAGCGCCTTCACGTACCAGAAAATAGCATCATTCTGTGATGTGTCATTTAAATGGGACAGATTGTTTTTGCTGATGTACTGAAGGTACTGAAGTGAATCATCACAGATCAGTAAAAACAAATTAAAAATAAATATTGTAAACAAACAAATAAAACCATAAGACATTCTTGAAAGGCACTCAAAAACAAACTAATAAACGGGTCAGGCTGGGAAGCATAAACTGGTACAGTGTGTTGCCGCACCCACCACATGACAAAACACCCTGGGATCCCGGGTGGTGACTCCCCCAGGCCAAAACTCGGTCTAGTCCCACCCTTCCGGAAATGCTCATTTATCTGTCACGGCCAGGTGTTACATGGGCATGCCTTTGGCCTGGTCCAATTGCTCGGGTCCTTAGCAATGAGGGTCCTGCGAGCCGGATCACCCTTAGGGAAGCGCGCCACATGGCCGTAGTGCCGTGACTGACGCTCCCTCAATGCAGGTAATGTGCCTCATTCGGGACAAAGTCAAACCAGCGGTACCCAAGGGATTCTCCAAAGAGAAACAGTACCAAAGGAGTCCAGTCTTCATCTCAGGTCACTGGATAGCATCCATGTCTTGCAGCCACACAGCAAGACATCAGGACTCTAAAGTCTTGGACCTGCTTACACCCCTTTCCAGCGACCTCATGACCCCCCATGATCTCCCAATCCATCTACTGACTTCATAGGAAGAGTCACCAGAGACATGAATGTTGCTGCTGAGGTAGGTGAATTTCTCGATGTGGTCCATATGCTCTTCACAGACAGACACACTGCGGATGGCTGTGCCCAATAGGTCATTAAAGGCCTGGATCTTGGTTTTTATCCAGGACACTCACAAGCCCAGACACTCAGACTCCTCGCTCAGTCTCTCGAGAGCCCCAATAAAAGCCTCCATGACTCCAAAAAGATCACAGCATTGCCAGCAAAGTCAAGATCAGTGAATCTTTCATCAACTGATGCCCCACAACCGCGGGACTCCATGACCCTGCCCAACACCCAGTCCATGCAAGCATTCAACAAAGCAGGAGCAAGAACACACCCCTGATGAACCCCAGAATCAACTGGGAAGAACGCAGAGGTTCTGGCTCCACTCTGCACAGCACTCATAGTGTACAGGCCAGACTATGGCATCCAGCAACTTTGGGGAGATGCCGTGAAGTCTTAGGATGTCCCACAGGGCAGGTCGATCAACTAAGTCAAATGCTTTATGAAAATTGACAAAGGCTGCAAAAAAACTGTGCTGATATTCATGTTTGCGCTTGATAAGAACCATCAGTACCAGGATGCGCTTGATGGTAGACTTTTTAGGTGTAAAACCAGACTACTTCAGTTGCTGGTAGGCGATCAAGTGATCACAGATCCCGTTGAGGATGACCCTAGCAAGGACTTTATCCAGCACTTTATCCAGCACTGAGAGCAGTGTTATCCCCCTGTAGTTGATGCAATCCAGGCGATCATCTTTCCCTTTCCAGATAGGGACAACAAGTCCTGTTTTGCAGTCAGTTGGGATGAGACACGTCTCCCAAATGAAACCAAAGATTGCTTGCAATGCCAGGAGGACAGCCTTACCACCAGCCTTGAGAAGTTCCCCCCGGATCCCTGAAGCCTTCCCCACCCCCAGCTGATTTACCACCTGTGCAATCTCAGCGAGATTTGGTGGTTTATAGCTCATCAGAGGATCATCCTCAAGAACTGTGAACCCAGAGAAGTCCAACACCCTAGCCGTAGGATCAGCTTTAAACAAGTGCTCAAAGTAACCAGCCTAGCAGGTCACAATGCAGTGCGTAAGGACCATTCCATCACCTGCCCTGACTGTGACTCTCCGAGGAACAGATTCGAGTTTGCGTAATGCTTCGATTCCTTGCTACACCATAGATGGTGTGTCACTTGCTCACAGATTCCTCTAGCAAATGCCCCCTTATCTGCCCTAAGAGCCCTTTCAGCCCTCCTTCTCAGTTCCTGGTACAGAATGGAGTTGCCATCAAGCCACACGTCACACATCACGTCACAGTGACTCCTCTTGATAATATCCAGGGTGTCCTGCAGGTGAAACACCTCCTTCTGGGAACACCGGCAACATCAGCACAATGCTAAGAAACTTTCAGGGTCTTGCCATGGAAGGTCTATCACACCACATTAGAATCAGCATTCATACCCAAGTCTGCAAGTTCCTCACACAAACTGCACAGACTCATTAGAAACAGCCTGATCTCGGAGTCTGGCTGGGTCCAGCCTCATTTTCCTAAGTAGGTGGTAGCCCACTGGACCTAAACTAAATCTTCAGAGTAGCAACAGCAAGTCTGTGGTCAGAATTCACAAACTGCGTATTTCTGTAGACGCTGCAGTTCTGTAGGAACCTCCGGTGTCTGCCCACGAGAATGTGATTGATCTCCTTCAACTCGCCACCAGCTTTGGAGTACCAAGTCAAACGATACGGCTCAGGGTGCTGGAAGCAGGATCCAGCGACACATAGCCCCTGACCTTTCACAAAATCAAGGAACATGGCGCAACTCTCATTCCCCCAGACTCATGGGGACCGACACAATCCTCATAGCTAGCCCAGTCAGTGCCAGTGGTCCCACTGAAGTCATCCATGATCAGAGGAGTGTCACTGTAAGTAAAGCTGTGAGTGAAATGTCTGAGACAACAGACAAGACACCCAAGGAGTGGCTTAGCCCGAGTCTCATAATACGCTTGTTGAAAGGAGCAACATTGGACACCATATAGAGCCGACCCGCCACAGGAACAGCTACTCCCCAAGTATGGCAGCCATCAGATGACCAGACCAATAATAGATGTATGTAACTAAAGAGATCTGCTTACTCCACAGTCTGCGTACCTCAGAGAGTGCCCCTATTGAAATGCGGAGTTCATTAAGCTCCTCCAACAGCAGAAATAGATGGTCTGGAGACTAGGCATTCCACACGCTGACCTGGGTGCCTCAGATTAGGACCCAAGTGCTGCTGTGCAGAGGGCGACACCTTAGCACCACACGAGTTTCAATCCCCAACAGGCCTGATCCCATTGGCTCTCCAGCAGTTTCAATCCTTCTGGGGTTGAGGCTCCCGAGGGCTTTTTGGGGGTTCGGGGGTTTGCTCAAGGCTCGACGTGGTGGGATTTCGATCACAGGCACAGAGGTCTGAGTCACATATTCCGCATGTCAGACAACGATGAGGAACTTTTACGAGGGAGCTACAGCCTTGAGATCGAGGCCTTTCTGGAAAAACATTCTGACAAATAGATGGGAGCAAGTAGCCATTTCTGTAGAGTCACAGTCCGTCACTAAAATAAGCCATGAGAAATGCATAATGTCAATTTACAGATACGATCGTTTTCAATGTCAAAAAAGATCCAGACATCCAAACACTTGCCAAAATAAAGATTTTTTTTGCAATGATTTTGTTGCAGACAGGAAATCAGAGACGCAGGTTATGCAAATTCTAGGGCACTATCGTCTGAATACCTGCACACATCAGCTCGGGAGTCACAACATTCATATTACCTGCCATCACGTCTCACTTTTGGTTAAAACCTAAGGAATACTTCTTTGATATACAGGTACTATGTTAGGCACCAAAACAGAACATTGTCTCTTTATTAACACGACTATTTCTGTGCACAAAAAAACACGATGTATAAATGAGGAGGAACCTGATTAGCAGCTGATTTATTTCCCATTAACAGCTTTCAGTTTATTTAAGGCAAGTTGGTTAAATATAATTATAATTACAACGTAAGAAGTTGTTGTTTTGTAGTTCTTGTAGCCTTCAGCCTAAGAGACTCATTTCTGATTAATGACTTGAAGAAGCCGCCATCTTGGCTCCCACCATTCGAAGTCACCCTGGCAGCTCACTGTCCAGTACCCAGAATGCTTTTCACTTGGCTGAGTTGAACGCACAGGCTAGCCCGAATGTCAGGGTCCTGTTAATGCTTTGATGAGTGTGACGTAAGCCAACTTCTGACCGAATATAGATCATAAACCAGCATTAGTTTGACACTGGCTGTACTACTGGCTGGTTTGTCAGGCCCAGTCTCTGGTCTGAGTTTGGACCATGCGGGGCTCCATTCTTTGAGAAAGGCAAGATGAGGAGGGCAGGCTGCGTCAAAACACTGTGTCATCAACCTGGGTTGCATACGCATCTTCATGGGACTCGGTGAACCAGCATCACGAGGGTCTCTCTGAGCCAACCAAACCCAACATGATGGAATTCGGCTAAACTGCCATCCCGCTGATAGACCTTCACCGCAACGTGACACATTTAGGAGCGGCGTTTCCCGATCCCATAATCCAGACACGAAGGCAGCGAAAAACAGATTTAACCATGCCCTAAGCAGCCTGTACCAGCTTCCCGTGGAGACACTGGCCTGAACACCAAGCCGCCAGCCTGTCCCTCTCTTAACTGTGACCCAGTGCAGCCTGTTGGGCAGCAGCATGCAGCAGGGCCCGCGACCTGCGCCTTGGCCACTGCGCCCCTGAGGCTCCCCCCTCTGATTAGCCGAAACCTTTGCACGGTCACTTCGCGTACTTCATTCCGTAAGTCATTATGCTTTAGCGACGGTGATCGCAGCCTGACTAATCCCGATGAGCCTCAATCATGGCTGAAGGTCACACACAACTGCCCCCCCCCCCCCCAGAGAAATTTGCCTCGTCGTTCGTTAATGATCTTGGGG